AACTTTATATAACTCAAAAGATGTCCAATGTGTTGTAAAACTGCGTTTCAGTTTTTTTAACCGATTTCAAAAAGGCTCCTCTTTTTATTCGAAGTAATGTTCAGATTCATCAAAAATATGAACATGCCACGAACCTGGTGTCATGAAACTGACGTTTACTCGTGAAATTGAAATCGGCGTTAGCTTAATTTTGCAGAATCAATGGCGCTTCAATTACAAGTAGGCATTTATTTTGGAGCAGAAACACATTATCGATTTTGTCACTGAATTATTTTAGTATGTTTTATCGGCCGATTTTTTTCCGTACTGATTTACCAGAGAGTTTAAAATATCGGCCGACTAAAAATTGCTAGGGCATTTCTGCTCTTAGTCGACTTCAAAATTGAAAAGAAGGAGATGATTAGAGAGTCTTGAGATGATTATTAGACAGTCAGTTTATGGGTTAAAGGTTGTTCTAATACATACATATCTTAAAAGTGGTTTTATTTATTCAACAAACTGCTATTGGAGTCGGGCGTTTATCATTCACTAACCTAAAGAAATCTCTATTCGACTTCAATTGCAGATTTTTGAAAAATGAAACCGCTTTTAAAAAAGTATAAACCTAGTCTAATAAGAAATAATTTTGAAAATCGAGCAATATACGTTGAAAAATCGGTTGATCATATAAAGACCTCATTAAGATGGTATTGAGATACGATTATCACTTTACCATTAGGTAGTAGGTACTGTACTAACTTTACCATTAGGTTGAAGTGAGACCCAGAGCGTCGCGATAGCATTCCTAGCATGGCATTCTTGCGGAATTGTCTAGTGTAACGTAACGGTTTTATCCCCCTCCGTTTTGGATTACGACTCTCAAAACCCTTCCCATTGTACTTTTGGAGGGTGTCTAATTATTTTGGAATCTTTAGTCGGGAGGTGAAAATACGGTATAGTTGCGTACTTTATACTATAATATATCTACGCAGAAGATCCACTGCGGCGCAGAGCTAGCCTAGCTGGTTTTATCTGGACATTAATAACGACGATGTTTATATTTCCTATTGTTATAGTCAATGTCATAATTGTATATTTTTGTGGAAATATATGAGTACCTACCATGCAAATAGTTAAATCATAATCTTAGATATCTTTATGAACAATACGACAATTAATACTTTAAAGCAGTTTTCGTTCAAAGAAATATACTTTATGTAAAATTATTCTATGGTAGCGCTGAAATATATATAAGAAATATATATGCTAATGTTATTCCAAGGTAAACAATGCTTGACACAGTAGGCTAATAAAAAGCTAGTGATAATTATTAATCATATAAAAAAAAATCGTTCGATAAAAAAATATATTACAGTCTGAATTGATGTAGGTATTTTATATTTCGATGAGATATCGCCAGTCGCTTGAGCCGAAGCCTCATTTCCAAATCGAGATTCTCAGCAATTTATAGAAGGTCAATTTATCTCGGCAAATATTTATTTATTCCACTCAAATTTACCGTGAATCCTGAATGTTTTATGAGGCTATAAAAATCTTCGGACGGACGCTCGCTACAGCGATTTCTTGTAAAAATCTCAAGAGTTATTGAGGCAAAATTAAAGATCTTTTCAATGATCCGCATTGATATTTTGAAAGGATATTTTCATTGTGTTCGTTAATTCATTCCTGTTCTCGACGCCTTATGTGAATTTTGACAGCTACATGTGTGATAAAATTATATCACATTTATATAAGTACCGGTCGTTCATTCACTTCGAAGAATCAAAAATTTATAATCATTGCGGAACAATGGAAGGCGTAGGTCTGGCAAAAGTTCATAAAACATCAACTTGCCGTAAATAAGTTGCTGAGATAGGTATTATTTACAATCCTTAACTAATATCATAAATGCAAAAGTAACTCTGTCTGTTTATGGGCTAAAGGTTTGTCTGTCTATCGGTCACGTTTACATTGCTGAATCAATTTTGATGAAAATTATGTCCTGGTAAAACACAAAATCGATTTCATCCCGGTAGTCATCCCATAAAGAAGTGAAAAGAAGGGTAGAGCATGTGCCGGGGTTGTTGTATCTCTGAGGTTGCCTCCCCTTCTCGGGAATTAAAAATGTTCGATTGATTTGAGCTATTTTGAAGAGAATGTTTTCAATTCAAGCTCATATTTTTCAAAATTGGATTTGATTCGTCTATCGAGCATATTTTTGATTGTCTATACGTCAGGTAGATTTTTGAATAATATTAAGTACGTATTATTTTTTATGTAATAATACATTCATTACGGCGATACATTGAGTTGCTGGTTGAGATATCGCATGTCGGCACACCTTTGTATGTACATATTCTGCATAGTTTTGATGTAGCGCGCCCCCACTCCTCAAATTTAATGCCTATTATCAAAGCCATTTCCTGTTTAATCTGAAGCAAAAGAATACATATCTGACTGACGGACTAAATATATATATATATGAAAATATAATGCTTTGGATATAAAAGAACTGTTTAAAAAGTTACCATGTATAAACAAATCATGGAAGGTCAGGAAAACAAGGAGTGTCGAATAAGCATGTCGTACCTACCTACAATAATACCTGTGATGCGATACTTGTGATTCGAAAAAAAAAAATCTCAAACTCCATTCTAAAAAGGTTACATTTAAAAAATAGTAAATATAATATTTCTTTTTCAAAACTCATTCGTTGAGTAATATGCAATTACGTATCCTATCAATGAATTACATCCCGAGGGACGTGCGTAACATAGTCACGTATACGGGAATACTATTACTTGAGTTGATTGAGACCGGGGAAAGAGTTCGGAATGTTGCTGAGGGATAATGTAATCCATTTGTTCTATAAGGCCTATTGAGTAGGAACGAAAGTATTTTTCTTTAATGGAGTCAGAAGTAGAGCTGAATATCGACAAAATGTCGGAAAAGGGGCTTTGATTAATATTCTTTCTGTTATAAGTGTTAATTATTTTTCTGTTTTTTATTATAATATTTAAGATATTAGTCCCGGGTACATATACAGTTCAATTAAAGTCCGTCCACCAATTATTTGTTGCAATTATATCCTTAATGAAAAATAAAACGAATACGTTGTTCAGGCGAGATTGTTGTTTTTATCTTTTCAGTAAAATCGAAACGAAACGCTATTGATGATCAATCGTTGTAAATTAGTAAAATAGGCCCCTGAGTGAATTGAAATTCTGGTTTGGATTTTTACAGAATAGCAGGGCTGAAATAACTTCCTTTACACGAAGTAATAATATTGGTTCAATATTTTCGTTCGGAGCCTATTTGATGCAAATAATCAAATCTTTCCTCTTCACAATATAAGATATAAAACAATTATTTATGATTTTTAAATAAAAATTATTTTACAACTGATAGATTTCAGTTTAACTAATATAAATTTTTTTTGTTACATATATGGCTATTTTAATGTAATAAATGTTTCCAAATTCTGGTCTTAAATGTTTCAATTTAAAATACAAATCAAATTATCCTCTTCTATACAACAAAACGGTGAAATAAAATTGCGATTGTTAAATCAATTTAAATCACGGGCCCTCGTTACCCCGCCCTTTGTTTCGCTTTGTTTCCGGAGTGTGGAATTAAAGGCAAGCAGGCGAATTTAATCGGAATATGAATTGGCTTTGAATATGCGGCTGGATCAAATTGCTTTAGATGTTTATGTTGCGCCGCTGTATTACTTTCTTACGACTTTACGGCGCCCGCCGCGTCTATCGGCCTTTGTAACGGCCGCGTTGTACTGTGGATAACAATTGAGTTGTGTAGTATGAAACCTCCTTACCCTCGGACTTCATCCAGTTATTTTTCACGGACTTACAAGTTACAAAACGCACAGAAAAAGTCTAGGTAAAAGTTGATTAAAAGCGTAAATTAAATCGCTTGTAGACAGATTTTGACAACAGAATATGGATAATGTTAGTTTGTTGTTTCAGCAGAAATCGGTCAATTGTTACATGAGAGTTGGATTTAATTAACGGCTAAAACAGACAGTTTATTTAAGACCTTTATTGTCATTAAGAGGCAGAGATCCGGGTCATCTGCCTTGCCTTTTGGTCATTTTAAGATTATGGGCTAGTTTTGACCACTTTGAGAGTTACGAGACGAAGACGAACTTTGATACATATTAGTTTTGCCATAATGAAACATTTTGAAAACCGTTCACGGTAAATCAATATATTTATCTATGCGTTAGTTAGACCGATTTGAAGTTCTAAGTGGCCAAAAAGGGGAACTGGCCAAAACCGGCTCTTCTGCCCTAGTACACATTCCGAGCATCGAATATGATTAACATTGTTTAAATATTTCTGTCAGTTATTTGCTGCTGAAATGTCACGTCATCATGTCGCGTGAAAAGCATTCCTCAGGTCAATGCTCTTCAAAGTATTACAAACCCGGGTAAATCCGATGGTAATCCAACTCCTTACCTAAACTTTTTTATATTTGCTACAAAAGTATAATAATGTTTTAAATTTGCGTTTTCCTTTGATAGGAATCGAAGTTGAATTAGGTAGGTATATCAAACTCATCTGACTGCGACAGCTTATTGTGTAGTTATATTGTACAGGGTAGTTAATGCATAAAAAAAACCCATTTGCCGGGAGCTTTATATCACAATAGCGACGAAAGCTTGCCGTATGCTCGGGATGACTAGTACGGTCTTTGTTTTTTCAACTCTTATGAGATAGTTCTTTTTAAGAATAAGATGAGTTTAAGAATTTTGAAGGATGTTTGAAAATAGCATTTCTGAAGACAATATTGAGAACAATTTGTATGTTTTATAATCATAAATGCCGATGGAAACTTAAAGTGAAGAAAATATATTAATAATAACAAAATTTATTTTCAAAATTTATGTTAGACTAAGCTAGATTAGGCAGGTCTTGAAGAATGTAAAGAATTGGGACAAGCGCTAGTAAATCATGATGATGTTATTTTCATTTTATATGAAGGCAAATAAGCAAGCTACTGACCTGTCACTGGAAACCAGTATAAGCTGTGTGTTAGCGAACTTGGCCCTCCGCTTGCGTACCGCTGATAACGCCGCGCATAGACTCGGTGAGAAGGCTCTGCAGGGTGGACACTGCAACAATACCACTTCGTGTCATCTATCGTAAATGTACAGGGCATCTCCTGCTTATTTAATACTAGCTGTTTTCTCGCGACATCACCAGCGTTAATGTCGTCCACAAGTGATGTAGTTTGTGTAGTTTCCTGTAGGTGAAATAATTTCCATGATCGGGTCAGTATTTCTGAAGGTAAACTCCTACAAACTAATAATTAAAAACCTTTCCATCCTTATTATTCATCATCATCGTCAGCCCTTTATTTTCGTCTCTACTGCAGAGCATGGGCCATAACCCTTCACGCTGGCCCAATGGCGGATTGGCGGGTATTAATGACTGCAAATGCAAATGGGACAAACGGCTTAAGGTGCCTTTCGAAGCATGGAGTAGCTGGAGATACTACATTTTTGGTCACCCATCACGTGACCGACCCTTGCGAAAGTTGCTCAACGACAACGATGGCGTGCCGATTATTATGATTAATTTGAGCATTAAACTTGGTGTAATAAATGAGTTTCTAGGCAATTTTTTATTTGAAACATTTAAAATACTATCGGCCAAGATATTTCAATGCATAAATAGATTGGATTATGTTTGATCAGTCTTCTATTTATTATCTATCTGTAACTCTTTCGTAAACACTAGAATTAATTATAGTTCTACAAAAGTAAGGCAAGTCTTAGTTATAGAGAATGTGAGGACACAATGTTAGTAACAATGCTTGTTGATGTTTTACATGACGTCATTAATCTTTTATTTTATTGACAGAGAGCGTTCTCGATTTTTATGTAAATTTATGTATTGAGCTTTAATAGAAAAAAACAGTATTTTTTTTTCAAATTGGATAATTATTTCTCAATAAGGACTTACTTTAATAACTCTCTCTCTGTTTTACTCCACTGCTTGATATATGCCTCTTGGTAACTTTTCCATCTTGATCGTCTTCCAGTGATTCTGTACCGGGTCGGCCATGCCGTCTTTTTTATACCACCGACCACCTCGTTGGTGGTCTGCCTACATTTCATCTTCCCTTTCGGGGCCTCCAGAGTTAAGAATTTAATAAAACTTAAGCTTAGCGATTATATATCTAAGTACCACTAGTGTTAGTCTTACCCAATGTGCGGCGAAATAGAACACTCTGACAGCATTGGCTGGCAGTTCTCCGTACAGTTTGCTGCCGCTGTCTCCTTGAAGTTGGACACCTCTCAGAACCTCAGTGAGGGGGGGCGCTGGCCACGGAAACCTCTCTCCAGCTGGGTCGGCGAGTAGGGCGTCTCTAACACCTCGCCCTCTCACCACTAATGTAGGCACTCCGACAGCGATACTGTATTTTTGGGTTAACCGCCTCTGTAAAATAATTGTGCATTTTGTAAGTATGCAGTACATTGTTTAGTTGGCTAATCGTTTAAGTCAAATGAGTTTAATTCATATCGAGATTACATATAGGTATCAAGTCACGTAAAATTGAGTTTTATAGCTTTGATACCAAATTGGTGCGTTCGATCTGTGATGTGAAAGTTAAGGTACTCTCACCGAGGCTGGACATAGGATGGGTGACCGAATATTTATTGTCTCGCTTTACACCATCTTTCGGAACTTCGGAAGGCACATTGGTCCTAGCTGTATATGCAGTAGTTAACATTCACTAATCCAAACTGGGCCTGCATAGTTGATTATGGCCCGAACACCCTATTTGATTGATTCCATCTATAGAAGGCCTGTGCCCCAAGAGTTATTTTTTTGAAATAAAGCATGAGTTTAGTATGATTCATTGGAAATTAATTAATTAGGCTTATACTATAAATAGGTAATCATTCAATTAGCTCTTTTATAAGAATTTTTATACATCGGCTTTTTAATAAGAAATATTACGTCGTCCTATCCTTGTAAAGTAGCAATGGATGAATATTTATTTTCAAATCGTAAGTAATCGTGTTGATAATGAGATTACGATGTTCTCACGGTTAAGGCCGAAAGATTTTTTTTCTGTCTCTCCCATCGTTTCACTTCAGCGCCTCTGACCATGTAATTTGAATAGAAATTTACAGATCGTAGATAATTTTATTAAATTCATAGATTAACTTCAATCTGTAAATTTGCTGTTTATCTGCCTGTATGTCTGTTACAGGGATCTTCGATATGGGTATTAGTTAAATCATTTTGTGAAACGTAAGAAGGGAAACAGTTATAGGAAAGAGGACCCGGAGTTGGTTATGATTTGGATGGTGTGAAAAGATAAAGGATAATAAATTGGAGGTAGGACCTGGCACTGCCTCTGATGCACAGATAATCTTTACGGACATGATATTAACTAAATTTGAATATTAAAAGGTTCCCAAGGGATAGAAGTACTTCCAAGGGCGCCTATTTGGTGAACGCTGCCTAAACGGTAAGAGATATTATGCGAATGCTTTCTAAAGGAAATTGGAGAGCTCCAAATTATCTATAAAGAGTCCGCGATGACGTATATTTATGTGCTAAGATTTTTTCAAAACAATAAAAATGTTCTTAAAAGTATATTTAAATTTTTGACCCGTCATTATTGCAAATAAAATTGTCCTTTACGCCAAATCAATTGTATGAGCAGTTTGGATTTTATAACGATGTTTTTGAGAAAAGAAAAACACCCAGCCGATTTTCTAAATAACATTTCATGTGTATGTATCTATTATGACTTAACAGTTTTTTTTTACATTTATTCGATAACTTTTATACGAGTATTTACGAGGGTCAAACTGAAAGTTCTTAGAAAATCAAAAACTGATTACATTAGCCAGTTATTAGTTTTATTATATCTTTTCAAAATATTGTCCATTCACGTCAATACACCGCTGCATGCGATGGAACCACTGGGAAAAGCACTTTGCCCACTCGTCCTTAGGGGTCTCTTCAATGGCATCGCGATACGCAGCCACCGCTTCTTCAGCATTCATAAACCGCTTTCCTTTAAGTTTTTCTTTAATTTTTGGAAATAAATAAAAATCACAAGGCGCGAGGTCGGGGCTATACGGCGGGTGACCCAGTAATTCAACGTTTGATGTCGCCAAATAGTCGATCGTTCGCTTGGCGGTGTGCGACGAGGCGTTGTCGTGGTGAAGGAGGATCCTACTGCGAGGTCGTTTCTCTCGAACTTTTTCCAAGACAAGTGGCAAACAATTGGTAGTGTACCATTCTGCAGAAACTGTTTTTTGATCCTCTAACACAATTGTTGCAAAATGACCTATCCTTCCAAAGAACGAGGCCACCATTTTTTTTCCCGCACTTCGATCTCTCTTCACTTTAGTTGGCAACTCCTCGAAAGGAAACACCCACTGAGCAGATTGTCTTTTGGTTTTAGGATCATAACAGTAAATCCAGCTTTCGTCACCTGTTAGTATGTCGAACACAGCATTTGAGTCACCTCCGTTAAATCTTTCAATCATTTTACGACACCAATCCACACGATGGAGTTTTTGAGCCTCAGTCAAATTATGAGGTATCCACCGGGCGCAAAGCTTCCTGACCGCTAAATGTTCGTGGAGGATTTTGTGCACTTGACTCATACCGATGCCTAAGCTTGTCCGAATCTGTTGATAGGTCACTCTTTTGTCAGTCTCTATCATACGCCGCACAACACAGATGTTATCTTCAGTCGTCGCCGTAGAAGGCCGTCCCTCACGTAAATCATCAGTGAGATTAGTGCGACCACGTTTAAACTCATTAAACCAGTTGTAAACAGTCGCACGAGATGGGGCTTCATCGTGAAAGGCCAATCGTAGTCTATCATAACTTTCTTGTTGACTTAAATGACATCGAAAGTCATAAAAAATCATTGCACGAAAATTTTCTCGTGTTAAATTCATGATGACGTGACACAGACAATTTTCAATTTGCCGCCAAATCGTAAAACAAATGACAAATGAATGAAATATATACTCAGTAATATTGGCAAAGAGTTATATTTTCAAATTTTAGAATTATTTTTTTATTATATTGTTTATAAGTGGCCAGTTCTAAGAACTTTCAGTTTGACCCTCGTATAAAGAGTGTAGTTATGATATCTACATACCCAAGAAGATTATCTAGAATATAAAGCTTTTGTAGTGTTGGAGGATAAAAAAGGTTAGCTGGATGGAAATACAATCGATTGAATAAGTAATCATCGACGAAAATAGACGGCAATTAGGGCTACCGCGTAAAAATTAACATTGGCTTCGATTTGTTGAGATTTTATTGAGTGCATTTTTATTAACCACAATATTAATCAAATCGAAGCCAATTTTGTCACGCGGTTGTTCATTCGACACGATGACTTCTTTAAAACCAGGATGAAAGCAAAAACTATTATTGTGACACTATCGAGAATCATTTAGAAACGCATGGAAAGTTACAATAATCGTGCTAAGCAAAATGTGAATCAACACTAGCTCAGAAACTCGGAAGATGACTTACAGCAGTACATAGGTACTGCTACATATGTACTTATATAGGCATATTCTGGCCCAAAAAGTAACAGAAATAAACGTGAACTTATTTGCATAGGATATTCTCTAGAAACGACATTGTCAAAAACCCGACCCAAAGCGAGTCAAAACTTGCACATTGAGTAAAAATAAATCACGTTTTTTGTATGGGAATTCGGGAATTTTGTGCGGGAAAAAACTAGTAGGCAGATATATCCAAGTATCTTCCTTCTTTTTAGTTGGATACCCGTACCACTAAAAATAAATAAAAGTATTTCTTTATATAAGACATTCTAACAATATGTTGAAACAGCCTTCTAAAGCAGTTTTAAGAGAAAAAAAACACTTGTATTCGGTTTTAACGCTCCAACTGTCATACAGTTCTACTAGTACAGATACCAGTCTCTCGCATAGATTATAAAATTGTTCTACTTAGTTTTTAAGGAGGTTGCTATATTGTGATATCTGTGTGAGAGAACAAATAAAGTTTATTATTTATTATTATTATTAACTACTGTGTTCATAAGACCATTATAAAACTAGGTCTATAATATCTCATAATGCTCGTATAACTGTACGACTGTAATTCTGTACAGGTAACTCGTTAAAAAGATCCCAGTTTATGGCCGATCGTTAACTTCCACTTACTATTAGGGCGGGGTCACAGATGTCTCACCTCACGCCATATGAAATTTCATGTCTTTGGGGAGCGAAAATTTGATGTTACGTAATGATTTATTTTATTTTGTATCATGAAATTTTATTTATTTTCGATAATGAAAAACTACAGAGAAGAATATATATTTGAAAGTTATTGATAAATGGAAATACATAGATAAATAGCTACATTAATCTGATTTTAAACGAAGTTGAATTACAGTAAAACTGTATATAAAAAGATATGATTATTTATATATTTACCTAATGATGAGCCAAATATTATTATTTATATTTATGAAATTCTCTTTATATATAAGTTTAACAAGTATTAATATTAAAAAAAAATATTAGAAAAAAAAATCACCTCTGTATCCCAAATTACTGTATGGAATATCCGGGTTTGCTTTCATGTTTCACTCCACGTAACCTTCACGATTGTTCGGTCTAGCTAGATGTACCCATTGACGATAAGTTGAAAAATAGATCCATATAATGGAAACTAGAACTATTTATTTAAGAAAGTAATAAAAACGTTATTTATACTAATATTATAAACAGGAAAGATTTGGGGAAGACTACCGATTATAAAAACACTCACCTAACCGAAGATATATCATACGTGAGTGATTTATGATATAATTTACGCGTGCTAAGTCGAGGAAAAAGAATGTAGTCAAAAACATGTATTTCTGATTCTTTCTCCTTGCAGACGTCACCAAAGCCATTTTGATCCGACAAAAGTTCAGAAACCAGTCGTAGGTAACAGTGCAAACAAATCGATATCTACAAGCGGTCGTCCGAAAAATATCAACAAAATCTCGTCAACACGAAGTTTCATCGCCACCCTATTCCGAGGCGATAAGGTTTATATTAGAAACATGAATAAATTTTTCAATTGTGGTTGGTTGTACTCGTCTGATTATTATGCATTGGAGGTGCTTATATGGCGGGCGATAGTACGTGACGAACATTTAAAATAATCTTAAGGAATTCGATGTATGTCTTGTTAGAATAATTTTAGTTTTAATGATTGTTAAAATAACTATCTATACATATCTTCCGGATCCCTTTCGGGGTTATTTCTTATATTTTTTATTAATAATGAAAATTTTTCTTAATACAAAATGCTTAAGAAATCCGCGAAAGGTCGAAGGTTCGATTCCCATCTCAGGGTGCCAGGGACCAAGTGGATTTTTTAAGCATTTTGTATTAACAATAATCAGCTATGCTATTCTGCAAAGACTT